AAAAACAACCATAGCTATCTACATTATGGCCAATTATTGCTGCTTTGAGTAGGACAAAAGGAGGAAAAAAAACAATAATGCTATTTTAAGTATTCTGTGTAATATTTGAGATGTCATGTGCAAGTCACAAGTCAATTTTGTATCTATCTATGTAATGAATCCTTAACAGAAAATTTACATTGATACAAATTAATAGTTCAAGATTGTTAAAGATGTAACATTGTTTTGTTAAGTGGGTAAAGTGATATTAAATGATAGTTCAACGAGGTAAATTATAATTTATCATATAGTTAGAAACATATTTTTGTCATAAAGGACTAAATTGAGAAAAAAAAGATAGATGAAAGGGGGTTGCAAGGGGGATCAAGTGACATTGGAGAATGATTTAGAAGGATAAAGTATAATTTACCCTTTAAAATTTTATTTTCAAGTCGATGGAGAAATGTCAAGCCAATTTGAGAAACCAAATAAAAGTTGAAAAGCTAGGGATTGAGGGTTCAAATTTTGTCAAACGTGAGATTGAGTATGAGAGCTTCATTAGTTTCTATCTATTCTATATGTCACTTGTTGTGATTTTACTCTATATTGTCGCTTAATAACTTTCCCTTGTCATATCTTTAAGAATAAGTTAGATATATAATTATATTTGGGTTTTTAAAAAAAATTCTCATATAATCAAATTTAATTACAAATTTATTATTTTTGTCAATAGCAAAAACCGGTCAACTATTTTGTTTTGTTGATAGTAATTAAAAATGAAAATAAACTCCCATTTTGAATATTATTAGCTTTGCATAACCAAGTAATTTCAAATGCTTAACACCAGGCCTATTGGAACCACAATCGTACTAATGAAACCAAGACTTGGCCTTAGCTCTTGTTTCTCCCAACCACATATTTTCTGATTCAACTTATTTATTTATGAAAACACTACAAGAAAAGTGGGCATAAGAGACGGAACTTTTTGCGACGGCACATTTGCCGTCGCAAAAAGTGACTTTTTGATACGGCACAACTTGCCGTTGCAAAAAATATGACTTTTTGAGACGGCACAACTTGCCGTTGCAAAAAATGTGACTTTTTGCAACGGCACAACTTGCCGTTGCAAAAAAATTGACTTTTTGCGACGGCACAACTTGTTGTCGCAAAAAAATAGAGTATTTGCGACGGCAGAGATTGCTGTTGCAAAAAAATAGAATTTTTGCAACGGCACTAGCTGCAGTCGCAAAAAAAAAAAAAAAAAAAAAAAAAATTTGCGACTGTAATAGGTACCGTTGTAAAAAAAAAAAAGAGTAAAAAATATATATATATTGTGGCTTTGAGACGCCTTCATATATATATATATAGTCACAAAATGGTTTAAATAAATGCAACGGTATTTTTTTGTCACAAAAAAAAAAAACGACGTCGTCTTACTCTTTTGATATAATATTTCTCTTTTCACCCATTTTTTCATCTTCTTGTCTCTCTATCTCTGTTTCTGTCTCTCTTCTTTTTCTCTCTCTCACTCATCGCTCTTCTCTGTCTGTCTGTATTTCTCTTTCTCTTTGTGTCTTTGTCTCTGTCTCTCTTCTCTGTCTGTCTGTCTGTCTGTCTGTCTTTGTCTCTCTCTCTTTCTCTTTATGTCTCTTGCCCATCTCTCTTCTCTCTCAGCTCTTTGTCTCTCTCTGTCTCTCTTCTCTTTGTCTCTCTCTGTCTCTCTCTCATTTATCTCTTTTCGCTCTTTTTCTCTCTCTTTCTCTATCTATCTCTTTTCACCTATTTTTTCATCTTCCTCTCTCTCTCTTCTCTTTCTCTCTCTCATTCATCACTCTTCTCTCTCTGTTTGTCTGTCTCTCTTTCTCTCTCTGTGTCTCTCACGCATTTATCTCTTCTCTCATCTCTCTTCTTTCTCTGTCTCTTTCGCTCATCTCTCTTCTCTCTTCTCTCTATCTCTCTCGCTCATCTCTCTTCTTTCTATCTCTCTCATCTCTCTTCTCTCTATCTCTCTTTTGCTCATCTCTATTCTCTATGTCTCTCTCATTCATCTCTCTTCTCTCTTTGTCTCTTTTTCTGTCTCTTACTCTTTATCTCTTTCTCTCTTTGTCTCTCTCTCTTTCTTCTCTCTCTCATTCATCACTCTTCTCTGTCTGTCAGTCTTTGTCTCTGTCTCTCTTTCTCTCATTGTCTCTCGCTCATCTCTCATCTCTTTTCTCTCTATCTCTCGCTCATTTTTCTTCTCTCTATCTCTCCTGTCTCTCTCGCTCGCTCATCTTTTTTTTCTCTCTGTCTCTCTATTTTTCTATGTCTTTCTCTCGATCATCACTTTTCGCTCTCTTTCTCTCTCTCTTTGTCTATCTCTCGCTCATCTCTTGTTTCTCTCTCTATCTATTTCTCTCTCTGTCTCTGTCTCTCTCTCACTCATCACTCTTCTCTCTCTCTCTCTCTCTATGTGTCTGCCTATCTGTCTATCTCTCTCCTCCATTGTGTTCACCTTGCTCACTCTCTCCCTCTCATCTTCTCTATTTACCGAGCTCTCCACTACAAGAAAATGCACTTTTAGAGACCACTTTGTCTCTCTCTCACTCATCACTCTATCTTTGTCTCTCTCTCTCTCACCACCCATCTCCTCTACCACATTCACCACTACTACAAACGCCATTCCACTACTACTACTGTTGCCACTCTACCTCTACGACTATCATTACTACCACCATCGCTACTACTCCACTACCACCACTACTACTACCATTACCTCTCCACCACCACCGCTACTCTATCTCCTCTACCACTACCACAACTTCACCACTAATCTCCTTCGCCACCACTACCACCACCACCACTATCACCTCTTATCTACCACCTTCACCACTACTGCCACTCCCTATCCTCTACCATAAAAAATTAGTTCTAGATTTTTAGTAACAAAAAAAAAAAAAATGAGCCGCAAAAAAATATTTTTCATTGACCACAAAAAATTAACTTTATTTTAATGGAAAATATTTTTCATTAAAATATTATCCCTACTTCTACCAAATAAAAATAATAATAATAATTTTTTATTCATTAAAATAAAATGAAACAAATAAATTTTTAACCTTAATAACTAAAAAAAATAAAAAATAAATAAATAAATTCATTAACTATAAAAAAAATTTATTTTAACAAAAAATAAATTTTATTATCGTTGTGAAAAAAAAATCATTTTATTATTTAAATATTCATTTATGATGGAAATTAAAATAAAAATAAAAAAATTCTCATTCCCCCCCTCTTTCCATTCCCGCTCCCCCCCTCCCCAAAATCCCCAATCTGTTTCTTGTTTTCCATTCCCACTCCCCCCTCCCCCTCCCCCCAAAAACCCAAATCCGAGTTCTCCCTCCCGCCTCCCCAAAACCCAAAATCCCCAATCTCTTCAACCAAAATCCCCCCCAAAAACCCAAAATCCCCAATCTCAAAAACCAAAAATCCCTAATCACTTCTTAGGGTTTTCTCTCTCTCTCTCTCTCTCTCTCCGGCGAGCGGTTGCAGACGGCGGCGAGCAGTTTCTCATTTCTTCTCTCCCCTTCTAGACCCTTCGAAGCCTCCTCGCCTCCCCGTCTGGTATACAAATCCTTGAATACTAACATGCATTTGAGCGAAGAGACTCCCTTGGCGAGGTTTGAAGAGTTTGAAAACCATCCGGCTGATCGAGAGAATCATTGTCCAGGACGGTGACCCTTCAAAGACCATCAAGGTGCCTGATGGGTTCGATTACGAGCTCTATAATCGTAACGATATTAACAGGATTTTGGGTCCTAAGGCTTCTTGCATTTCCTTCAAGGACTCTGCTTGTCGCTGCTTTGGGTATATGGGTTTTTGTTTTTTAATCTGGGTTTTTGTTTTTTAATGATAATGTTTAGATCTTGATGCAACTATGTGTTTTGGGTGTCAATTTGGTAGATCTGTTTGATAATGGCTTGTTATGATTTGGGTTTTTGAGAAAAATTGACTGTTTGATTGTTGGGTTGTTCTTTGGTGTCACACTGTTGGTTTCTTCTAGCCATATAGCTTGTTTTGCTTTGTATTTTTATTATTTTTGTTATCAATTTTTCTTTTTGGCAGAGTACTTGATGGGGTCTAGTAACTTTTTTAAAAACTAACTTGTCAGTGCAAATGTGATGCATTTGTAATTTAACATAAATTATATCTAATTTTACATCTCAATTTTTTGTGTGATTTGTTAAATGAAGAAAATGGATTGAAATTGATAACTGTTTAACAATATGTGTGTATTTTTGGAAGAATAAGTGCAAATGTGATGTGTTTGCAATTTTATGTATACATTTTTTGGTGATTTGTTAAATGAGGAAAATGGATTGAAATTGATAACTGTTTAACAATATGTGTACTTTTGGAAGAAAAAAGAATAGCTTAACAAACCTTCAAAATCTTATGCGTTGTGTGCTTTATATAATACTGTAGATAGTATAGATTCACTTGGTCAACTTCAAACAACTTGATTAGGTCTCTATGACTGCTTGGTTTTGTTAATGAGTGATTTTGCTGATATAGAATTAATCTTTTTGAATCACAATAATTATCCGTAATGCCAAACATTGGGATGTGATTGGTTGCTTTGTTATTTTAATATCCAGATTGAAGTTTGTGGTTGTTTGCTTTGAATCTCATAAACTAGAGTTTATTGATGTAATTTGAATAATGCTAAATTGCCAATAGTGAGATCTTACAGTTTGATTGTTATTTTAACAACTTTTCCTTCTCTGTACTTTATTTTATTGTACCATCAATTTTGCATGTTATATTCAAATAATTCCCTTTGAAAGACGCTTTATAAATACTTTCTAGGTAACATATCTGGGGAATCATGCTTTTGTAGTTCATGATTAACTGGTTACAATGTGATCTACAGTTGTAGAATGGTTAAAGATTTTACATTTTTTTTAATCATTGTATATTAGTAACAAGGTCTTCACTTTTTCTCTTTTTTAATCTTTGGTTGGTGGGTCCAGATTGTTAAAGTAACCATAATCCTAACTTTAGACAGCAATAAAATACTTTAGTTAATGGCCAATTCTCTCGATAGAGACCTCTAATATCAAGAAGATGGCAACGTCTCCTGAAATGATGTGCTGCTTCTGCCCTGCACCACTAAAACAATTTCTTGAAATTGTGATTAACATGAAATTTGATGATGAGCCTAACTATTCCAAGCAAATCTCCCTGTTCGAGGGACTGATTGGACCAAATCCTGCTATAAGGCCAATAAACACTGATGGTGCTCAAAAGGTGATTCTGGTGATCTTTGAATTTATGACTATGATTCCGTTTCTTGTGTACCTTGCTATTAACAAATCCTATTTGTGTAATCATTGGTAGATTATATATCAAGTTGGTCAAAAGCGAAGTAGATTGAATATTGAGGAGGATGAGGATGGGCTCCCTAAGAAGAAGGTTCATCTAGGAGTTCCTGCCACACAGTGGATTTCAATTTACAATGCAAGGCAACCTATGAAACAGAGGTAGAATTATGTTTTATTGTTTATTTTGTATTACTATCACGTACTAGGAAGTTGTTTAAATCTTATTTTTTATGTTCACAGTGGATTTCAAATTTCAACTTGGTATGCTTTTGTATTGCTAGCCATCTGTGGGCCTTGATTCTGAGGCTTTATGGGGGTTGTCTAGAATGTTAGCAGAAGTTATTAGTGGGTGAAAAGGGTGTTTTTTGGTAAGCTAAGCAACAAGAATTGGAATGTTGCTCCTCTTTGATTGATGTGGTGCATTTGGGGACATAAGCTGATCAAAAAAAAAGAAAGAAAAATGTGGTGTACTTGGGGATAGAAAGGCCACTCTTTTGAAGGCATGGATTATGTGGTTGTGTTAAATAGTTATCATTAAAGATTTTGTTTGATTAGGTTAAAGAGAGAGAGGACCTTTATCTGGAGAGTTCATATATATGTATACACACATTTAGTATATACAGGTGAAACTTCCTTGATGCCTTTTTATTTGGTTCATTTGGAAATTTCCTGGAAAGCTAATCTTAGATTTTTTTTCTCCATTAGAACAATAGGGCCATTACGCTCATCACTAAACTTGTTGGTGAGTTGAAATATAAGGTTGAATCGATCATCAAAAGAAGAATTAGGCCAAAAATTAGAATACACTCAGCTAAAATAAAACTTCCATGTTGCTTATTAAAAATATATGTACTAAACCCAATTCTGGTTGGATTTTGCTTTGTCATGGAAGTCTGTGAAGTCATTGTAGCTTTTACGGTGGTTGTGAAGTTTGTAAGAAGTTGCTTGGCAGTTTTGATGGAATGAATGTCTATTTGATTGAGATAGTAGTTAAATTTTTATTTTTGTATTTGATTGAGATGTTTAATTATCCATGTGGGAGTTGATGACTAACAAAAAAAATATTGTATTTGATGTTATAGTAGTTAAATTTTTATGTTTTTTTGTAATTAACATTAACACATAATTATATTGTCATTAATTATTTTTATTTTTATTTTTCAGATATTTCCCATATAGGAGTGTGCTTCTTGTGGAATGCATGTCTGTGGAGAATCTGGCTAATTTTTGTTTTTGTTATCTACGAAGAATGATGAGAAACATTTAATTTTGATTTATGTTATTTTGAATTATGAACAAAATCATATATTTAAACATTATATATGTATTATGAAATATTATGTAGTGGGATAATTTTGTTGATGTGTAATTATGAATGGAAGAATATTTTATTATGGATAAATTGTTATTTTTATATAGGAATTTTTATATTATTATGAAGAAATTTTAATATTTTTATTAATTTTATTGTAGGATGTTTTTTTCTTTTTTGTGACGACACTACACCGTCGCAAAAAAAAGAAAATTTTAATATTTTTATCGATTTTGTTATAGGTTTTACTTTTTGTGACGGCACTAAACTATCGCAAAAAATAGAAATTTTATTATTTAAAATAGAAATTTTATTATTTTTTAAAAACTTTTTCCAACAGTAGTACACTGTCGCAAAATAGAAATTTTTATATTTTTTTAATACTTTTTGCGACGGCATCACACCGTTGTAAAAAAAAAAGATTATTAGCAACGATATTTTTTGCCATCTCAAATAACATTTTTAGCGACGGTAAAATAGTGCCGTCGCAAAAAAGTAAAGGAATTTCAAACATTATTAGCAACTGCAAAGTACCGTCGCAAAAGGCAAAAATGCTGTTGCAAAAACTCTTTTGCAACGTCCCCAGTTGCGACTCCCCTCTTGCCGTCGCAAAAGGTCATTTGTCGTCACAAAAATTTTTTTGCGACGGCATTAGGAGTATTAGCGACAGCATTTTACCGTCGCAAAAAACTAAGATTTTAGTAGTGAAATAAACAATGTGAAAAATAATATTTTAACTAGGGCTGCATGTGGGGTTGGCTATGTTAAATCAAAGTCAGTCGAAACTATTGGATAACTGATAAAAAAAGTCACTTTACAAAAAAAAAAAATTTACTTTAAAAAAAACTATATAAAAAGTTTTTACTTTTCAAGTTTATCTAATTTAAAAGGATGTAAAAAGTTTAAAAAAAAAAAACAAAAACAAAAACAAAAACAAAAAATTATTGACAGTAAATACCAAAAAAAAGAAAGGCAAAAATAAATCAACTTTTTTTTTAATCCCTTTTTTAAAAGAAAAATTTTATATTTTTATTATTTTTTAGTTCAGTCTAGTCTAACAGACCTAAAATTGAAAAAAAAAAAAAAAAAAAAAAAAAAAAAAAAAAAAAAAACACTAAAGATGAAAAAGTGAACAAAAAATACTGCTAAAAAAGATAAACCTAACCTAAAACCAAACAAATTCAAACATGAAAATGATCTTTCTGATTCTCGAAGAGTGAGGGTTAAAGGGATTGATCGAGAAAGATCTCTTATTCTTATTATAAGATCATGATTGGAGCCGCATATGTTTGGTAAAGAGAATAATCTTCTCCTTTGAGAAGAATCAAAAATAAATATGGAAAGTATTCAATTGGAACATGAAAACATGACTAAATGGGTCCTATCAGGACGGAGAGGAAGAAAGGAGGAGATTCTCGAATGAGGAAAAGGATCCAATGACTTTGAAAGAATTGAACGAGGAGTCCTATGAAGTGAAAATCTCATGTACGATTCTGTAGAGTAGCAGTAAAGGTGACTTATCTGTCAATTTTTCCACTATTACTCCCAAAAAACAAAACTCCGTCTCACGTAAAGTTGCCACAATATGATTAACCTCTAACTCAATCAAGATATGAGCATGGCCCAAACTCCCATTTTCATCTTGGGATAGGAATCTCCCCAATAATGCAATAAATCATTGCAACACATTTGGAACTTTTTTTTAACAATAATTTGACTATCTAATTAATTATACATAATATATAAATCATTGTTAAACACTACTTAAACTACCATTTGCAAGAATTATTTGCAAAGAATTTTATGTTCTTAAAAAAAAAACTATGGTATTTTTGAGTCATAGGTTCTCAATTTTAGACTTAGTTTTACCTCTACATTTTAATTTATCATATTTACACTTTTTTTTATAAAAAAAAAATTCAAATTTATACCCTTTACACTAAATACGTAATCAAGTTATTATATGGTTACAATGTCTGTTACATGTTGTGAAACACAATCTTCATTATTTTTTAATTTTTTTTAATTATTATTATTATTACAATTTCATGATTGAAATGATAAATATATATTTTTGGTGTTAAGGGTGAGAATTTAAGACACGATAAGATAATACGACTCGAACCGTATATGAATTACCTGGTTAGGATTGACCATTTCCTGACACGAGCACGAATGTGACATGACTCGATAACACGAATATTAAACAGGTCAAATTAGTGTTAAATTTATATAACACCAAATTGATATGAATAACCCGTACAATGAAGAATCAGTTACACATTTTAATATTATTTTTACTAAAGAGTATCATTACATTTTTTAATCTCTTACGTAATTACATCCAATCTATTAAAAAGTATGTAAAATGCAATTTTAAGTTTAATATTGGTTTTGTTTTTGCTTTTAATTGAATTGAATGTATTTTTTTGTCTATTATTTAAGTTAATCTAGTAACAAATATACTAATAAAATATAATTTTTATAAATTAAGAAAATAAAACTAAGTTGAAATCAAATATTTTTATAAATAATTTCATTTAATAGAGACTAGTTTCATTAAATTTAACTTGTGAATTTTTTTTAATTTTTTTTCATACGTTTGATATTTTTAATTAATAATAAATTTTTTTGACATGACACGTTAACACGACATGAACCAGATACAAATTGAAAATGATACAAAACGATAACACAAAATAATAAACAAATCGGATTAGCATTAAAGTAATTCTGACATGAATCCAAGATAACACGATACGAACACAGCCCAACACGATACCTACCCTAGTCAATCATGCTTTACTACTTTGCATTAGTTTGTGCCAATGCTGGCCCGGTATGTAGCAAACCCCTATATTAGGCCCAATAGACAGCGTAGGCCCTGTCAAACCCATAATATTAATAAGGGGTTGCATAGCGATCCTAACATTGTTCTTAAAACATACACCTCTTTCGCTATTAGTATTTGGGCATTGAAAAATGATTCATCTCTTTAATTTGCCTTGGCAATTTCATTTTGATAATGTGAAATTAGAGGAGATTAAAGATAAGAGAGAGAGAGCATTGCTCCATCATCTCAATTTCCTCCTAAAAAAAAAAACTCCCCCAATGATATGCAAATAATTTTGAAAGAAGAGAGAAAAGTTTAAAGAGAGTTGACTTGTTGATATTATTTGTCATATCATTGGGAAGGAATGTGGATGGATGAAGCATTTTTTTAGAGAGAGAGAGAGGAGTATAAGACCATTTCACATGGGTCTTAGCCATGTCATTGGGATGAAATTGGGAAGCCTCAATTAGAAAAAACTATTTAATATTCTGAGAATGTCACGTATTCATATTTCAAGACTAATCATCATACACCGTGCCCCTTTATGTTCCTCAATCACATGATATAAAATTATAGGCCTACCTTCTCAACTAATCACAACACTTTTATAATAACCCTAACCCATGATTAACTGTTAAGCTATGATTAAGTATGCCTAATAAGTAATTAAAATGAAATCTTGAGTTAATTACATGTATATTGCATTATTGTGTTTATATCTCTCTGTCGTAGAAATATCTGTTTGTGTTTCCGCTTTACTCTGCGAATTGAAGGCCTTATCGGTATCCGATCATGAAATCGACTGGTATATATGTTATTTAGAATGTTTAGAACATTATGATAGGTTCAATTGAATTTCGATTCAGAACAAATTAAATCAGAATAATTAATGCCCATTGAATGGTTAAAGCCAAGATTAATTGAGTCAACTTAATGGGGCCTATATAAGGCTCATGTATACCCTAGACTACATTTATACTCTTGTTCCTTCACTCTAGAGACTTCAAACATGAGAGAGAGAGAATTAGAGGGTGGGAGTTGAATTCAAGAAGGAAATGGAGGACATTACTAGGAGGCTTGGAGAATTACTCAAGATTACTTCTAAACCTTAAGGAATTGAGAACCTTAGGTAAGAATTCTAGCCTTTAGCTTTATAGTTTAGTTGGGTAATGCATAGAATCAAGGGAGATAGGTAAATTCACATGAGAATTGAACTAGAAATGAAGGAATATAGATCATACCATGCATGCGTGTCCATTTGAGCACAATTTGAGTTTGATTTCAAAGAATTCTCTCATACATGTGTCCACCTTACCTTTATTTTGAGAATTCATCTAGTTTAATACCATTTCATATCAATTGATCATGTTTTGAGAACTTTGAAGTCAAGATAAAGCATGCATGTTATGTTTTCAAAGAATTGAGTGTTGTTTTGCACAATTAGCAAGCTTTTAGGCCATGATTTTGTGAAATGATTTTGAATTCACCATGTTTTATCCGTTTACAAGTGTTTCCTCAAGTTTCCTCAAGTTTTTGGCCTAAAAGACTATGATTTGCAACTTTGAATTTGAGTTTTGAACTTGGAAGAGCAATCTGGAAATTCCAGATTCTGCCTCTCCACTTGAGCGACTGAACCAGCGCTCGAGCGACCCCTCTATGTTTTGCACCTCCGCTCGAGCGACCAAAAGTTGGCTTGAGCATAAAATGCATGGTCCTAGAAGTTCACATGTTTTGCAGACTGCTCAAATGACAAGAGTTGCGCTCAAACGAGTACCTTAGTCTTACGCTCGAGCGACCGTTGAGCAGAGAATTCACACAACTAGTACTTTTACAAATTTTATAGACCACTCGAGCGACTACTCACATTTTTGACCATCCGCTCGAGCGAAGAAAGTTGCGCTCGAGCAAGGCCCCTGTTTTTAGCATATTTGCCTAAGGGTTTTCAAGGGCATTTTGGCATCCTAAGCATTCCTAGACCATATTTAAGACATAATGATGAGGATAAGGACTAGAAACACACTAGGAACAAAATATAATAAGTTAATGAATTCCGAGTGTGTGTTTCATTATATGTGTGTCTGTTATGTTTATGTAGGTCACGCGCCACAAGTTATCTGATTCGTCTGCTCTGTCTGTTCTGCAAGTGAAGCCATCTGTGAGTAATAACTCAGTAAAGCTATGTTCAACTTTATTTATTGTCTGTATGATGAAATAAGATCTATTTTATGAAATATTATATTCTGTACAATGAATGAATGTCCAATTTCTAACAAGTACTCGTGGTATCCTTAGCACAAGGCCCTAGCCTGAGGGTAACCATACCGTGGTCTATAAGCACAAGGCCCTTGCTTGAGGGTAATAATACCGTGGTCTCATGGCCCTCGCCCGAGGGGGTAACAATATCGTGGCTTAAGCATGTTATCTATTCTCGGTACCGGATGTTCTTTTATGGAACTGACAAGTATGACCCTTAATGCTCTGTAATTGATCTGTTAGCGCTATTGGATACACCCCATATGATCAAGCATGAACTCTAATTTTTTTATACGATTCAAACAACAATATGAATGTGAATCTGTTTCTGTTTTCTAAAGTATTATGGGACATCATTCATTCAACCCTTTACTTTTTTATTATTCACTGAGCTTTTACTCACTATTTATATTATGTATGTAGGTGAGCGGGCGCGTGACTAGGCCTAAGCTATTGCCTGGAGAGTTTTGGGCTAGCCAACCACTATGCCTCCCGGGGAGGTTCCTATTTGAAAAGTTAAGTTTTGTGACCCATGCCAAGAATGTTTTGCTATTTTGTTTTTTGTTGATCTGTACGCTGGACTAGCTTCATTTTGTTGTATTGCCATGAATATGTGACGCAAGACTACTGTATTTATGACGTCACGTATACGTAAATAAGGTTTTGAATTTCAGTTCCATGTATGTTTGCACAGCTCTATGGACTATGTATGTTCCTATATTTGCTTCCGCAGCCCCTTACCATGTCAAAATCTGTTCAGAGGTCTTTGGTAATCTAAGGATTATTGGCCGGTTACGACGCTAAACCTATAAGGGCGGGTTTGGGTCGTGACAGAGTAGTATCAGAGCAGGTGTTCTATCGCACACACGAGTCCATATGAGCTATAGGATGTCCTAGAAAAGAATTAGGGGCATTCTGTCTGCATGTGTGGGTGTGTGAATTATGAGAACTTGCATGAACTAAACTGAACTAATGTAGACACATATAAAGCAAATTGATTTAAAATAGAACACATAGAACAAGGCTATTATGCCCATGTTTATTATTATCTTGTTTACCTATAGCAATGGAAAATACAAGAAGTAATGTTGCCACTGAATCCTTTGAGGCCCGAACGAATCGAATGGAACAGATGCTTGCAGCTTTGAGTGAAGCAGTGAAGCAATGAACAACAATATGAATGTGAATCTGTTTCTGTTTTCTAAAGTATTATGGGACATTATTCATTCAACCCTTTACTTTTTTATTATTCACGGAGCTTTTACTTACTATTTATATTATGTATGTAGGTGAGCGGGCGCGTGACTAAGCCTAAGCTATTGCCTGGAGAGTTTTGGGCTAGCCAACCACTATGCCTCCCAGGGAGGTTCCTATTTGAAAAGTTAAGTTTTGTGACCCATGCCAAGAATGTTTTGCTATTTTGTTTTTTGTTGATCTGTACGATGGACTAGCTTCATTTTGTTGTATTGCCATGAATATGTGATGCAAGACTACTGTATTTATGACGTCACGTATACGTAAATAAGGTTTTGAATTTCAGTTCCATGTATGTTTGCACAGCTCTATGGACTATGTATGTTCCTATATTTGCTTCCGCAGCCCCTTACCATGTCAAAATCTGTTCAGAGGTCTTTGGTAATCTAAGGATTATTGGCCGGTTACGACGCTAAACCTATAAGGGCGGGTTTGGGTCGTGACAGAGTAGTATCAGAGCAGGTGTTCTATCGCACACACGAGTCCATATGAGCTATAGGATGTCCTAGAAAAGAATTAGGGGCATTCTGTCTGCATGTGTGGGTGTGTGAATTATGAGAACTTGCATGAACTAAACTGAACTAATGTAGACACATATAAAGCAAATTGATTTAAAATAGAACACATAGAACAAGGCTATTATGCCCATGTTTATTATTATCTTGTTTACCTATAGCAATGGAAAATACAAGAAGTAATGTTGCCACTGAATCCTTTGAGGCCCGAACGAATCGAATGGAACAGATGCTTGCAGCTTTGAGTGAAGCAGTGAAGCAATGATGCAACAATAGAGACAACAACCTTTGCCCCATCCGTCTCCACCGGTGCAAATTGAACCGGATAATAATGACATAAGCAACTTAACCCAAAAGTTCATGAAAATGAAACCACCAACTTTCTTTGGTGGTATTAAATCGTTGAGGGCAGAAACATGGCTACTTGAAATGGAAAAGTTATTTGAAATGTTCCCTTGCTTCACGACTCAGAAAGTGCTTTTAGCCACCTATACCCTAAAGGATGAATCTCGAAGATGGTGGCTGTTAATTCGAAACGACAATGGAAACATGTCATGGGTTCAATTCAAGGAGATCTTCTACGACAAATATTTCCCTTAGTGTTTTCACAATCAAAAAGTTTCAGAATTTCAAGAACTCAAGCTGGGCAATATGTCAATAGCAAAGTATGAAGCCAAGTTCACTGAATTGGCCAGGTTTGCTCCACACATGGTGCATACCGATTACAAAAAGGCACGAAAATTTAAAGGAGGTTTGACGTTAAAAGTGTTTGACCGAGTTGGCGTCTTAAAGTTGCCTACCTATGTAGAAGTATTAGATAGAGCATTGATGTCAGAAGCTACCTTAACAGCGATGAAACAAAGCAAGGCCCCAACAACAACTGAATGAAGAGTTAAAAGATCTAGATCCAACTTTCGGAAGGGCCGCTCATTCTTTATAAACAAAAAGCAAAATACCAGATCTTCAAGCAGTTCAAGCCAAAATAGTGGGTCTATGTCAGTTTGTCCAGAATGTGGAAGGAAGCATAAGAGCATGTGTTACCGTGCATCTGGTGCATGTTTTTGGTGTGGCAAGACTGGCCACATCATTAGAGACTATCCGATGAGATTCGACAATGCTACCCGACTCGCAACAAATTCTGTCGGATCCGCTCCTGCACCAAGAACGAATGAGAGAACCAATACCGGGAAAGAACCTTTGAGGCAAGGTCAAGTATTTGCACTAGTACCTGGTGATGTACAGAACACTGAGTTAGTAGTGTCATGTATGATTTCTATCTGTGCTCAGAATGCCTACATGTTGATAGATTCTGGTTCTACGCACTCTTTTGTGTTGCAAGTTTTTTCCCGAAAATTAACTAGACCACTACAGCCTATGAATTATTTATTATCTGTCTCTACACCATCTGGAGGTTCGATGATATGCGCATATGTGTATTCAGCATGTGACATTGTGATTGGTGATATTACATTATATGTTGATTTACTACCATTGGGTCTTGATCATTTTGACTATATACTTGGTATGGATTGGTTAACAAAGTATTGTGCAACTATTGATTGTGTGAATAAAATTGTTGTGTTTCGACCACCTGGTGTGCTTGAGTTTGTGTTCGTTGGAAATGGGGTAGTTCCTTCGCCATACTTGATTTCATTTATAAAAGCCAGGAAGTTGTTGAGAAAAGGGTGTCGGGGCTACTTGTGTTGTGTATTGACTATATCTTCTGATAGTGCTAATGTGGAAACCATCCCTGTTGTTTGTGAATTTCCCGATGTGTTTCCGAATGAATTGCCTGGGGATTTAATTGATAGAAAAATCGAATTCACCATTGATGTAATACTCAGGACACAGCTAATTTCTAAAACCCCATACTGCATGTCAACCTCTGAATTGAAAGAATTGAAAACTCAATTACAAGATTTGTTAGACAAGAAATACATCCGCCCGAGCACTTCACCTTGGGGTGCTCCAGTTTTGTTTGTTAAGAAGAAGAATAGGTCCCTAAGGTTATGTATAGATTACTGGGAATTGAATCGAGTAACTATCAAGAATAAATATCCATTCCCTGAATAGATGATTTGTTTGACCAACTTCAGGGAGCCTATGTATTTTTCAAAATTGACCTTAGATCGAGCTATCATCAAATGAAGGTTAAGGCAGAAAACATTGAGAAAACTGCTTTCCAAACTAGATACGAGTATTATGAATTTTTAGTCATGTCATTTGGAGTATTGAATACACCTGCGACTTTTATGGACCTAATGAATTTGATGAATTTGTTGTGTTTATTGATAATATCTTGATTTACTTCAAAAGCAGGGAAGAACATGAACATCACCTAAGAACTACTTTTACAGATTTTGAGAGAAAAAAAGTTGCATGCAAAATTGTCCAAATGTGAATTTTGGCTTGACAGCGTAGCATTTCTAGGACATGTAATTGACAAGGATAGTATATCAGTAGACCCATAGAAAATTAAAGCCATTGTAGACTGGCCAAGGCCAACTAATGTATCTAAAGTTAGAAGTTTTCTGGGGCTTGCAAGTTACTACCGCAGATTTGTGAAAGACTTCTCTAAACTTGCTTTGCCATTGACACAATTGACTCAGAAAAATGCACCATTTGATTGAAAACGAACAAAGGGAGACGCCTTCCAAAAGCTGAAGACCAGGTTAGTAACTGTACCGATCTTAACTTTGTCTAATGGTACTGATAGATTCTAAATTTACAGTGATACTTCATATAAAGGTTTGGGATGTGTACTAATGCAAAATGGTAGAGTGATTGCTTATGCCTTGCAATAACTCCGACCACATGAAAAGAACTATTTGACCCACGACCTTGAACTCGCTGCTGTGGTCTTTGCTTTGAAAATCTGGCGTCATTATCTATACGGCATAACTTGCGAAGTGTATACCGATCACAAAAGTTTAAAATATTTCTATACTTAAAAGGAATTGAACATGAGATAGAGGAGATGGCTCGAATTCATTAAAGACTATGATTTGTAGATTTTGTACCATCCAGGGAAAGCTAATACAGTGGCAGATGCTTTGAGTCAGAAGTCAATAGGACATTTGTCATGTTTGCTCAACGGTCAAAAAGAGTTGATGTCTGACTTGGAGAGAAATGAGATTGAAATTGTGTTACGTAAACAAAGTGGAATTCTAGCCGCCATTTTTACTCAGCCTGCAATCATTGAAGAGATTAGAGAGAAACAACTGTAAGATGAATTTCTAAAAAAGATTATGGATGAATTTGACTTAAAACCGAGACCAGGATTTTTGTTGGAAAATAATGTGTTGAAATTTCAGGGTAGATTTTGTGTACCAGACCATTCTGAATTGAGGAAACATGTTATGACTGAAGCCCACAACTCCAACTTTGCCATGCATCTGGGGAATATAAAGATGTATCAAGACTTGAAACAGAATTTTTTGTGGCCTGGAATGAAGAAGAGCATTGCTGATTATGTGACTAGATGTTTACATTGCCAACAAGTTAAAGCCGAACATCAACGACCCGCTGGATTACTTCAGCCGCTTCCAATACCGGAATGGAAATGGGAGCACATTACCATGGACTTCATTGTGGGATTGCCTCACTCCTCTCAAGGTATGGACTCTATCTGTGTCATAGTTGATTGTTTGACTAAATCTGCTCATTTTCTACCTATTAAAACTTTTTACAATGCGAATAAGTTAGCTAACATTTATATGAATGAGATTGTGAGATTGCACAGTGTGCCAGTATCCATTGTATTTGACAGAGATTCTAAGTTCACGTCAAGATTCTGGCAGAGTTTACAATAGGCTTTGAGAACTGAACTGCGACTGAGCAGTGCCTACCACCCACAAACAGATGGCCAAACTGAGCGAACCAATCAAACTTTGGAAGATATGCTACGGACGTGTGTGTTAGACTTCTAAGGGAATTGAGAGACTTACCTTCCTCTAGCCGAGTTTGTATACAACAACAGTTATCATTCAACCATTGGAATGGCTTCTTATGAAGCTTTGTATGGTAGAAAGTGCCGATCTCTAATTTGCTGGGCTGAGGTAGGTGATAGACCATTGTTGGGACCGAAACTTGCACAAGAAACAACTGAAAAAGTGAAACTGATCCAACAACGCTTGAAAATTGCACAAAGTCGCCAAAAGAACTATGCAGATGTCTGGAGAAGAGACTGAGAGTACGAGGTCGGTGATCACGTTTTTATAAAATTAACTCCAATGAAAGGTCAAACACGATTTGGGGTGAAAGGAAAACTAGCACCAAGATACATTGGCCAGTATGAAGTCTTAAAGAAAATCAACTCAGTAACATACCGAGTGGCCTTACCTCCGGTTATGGAGAATATGTACATTGTTTTTCAAGTTTTAATGCTTCAGGATTATTTGAGAGATCCATTACACGTTATTGAGTCGACACACGTACTTTTGAAGGAAGATTACACATATGAAGAACGACCAATCCAAATTGTTAACCGAAGAATTAAAAGATTGACAAATAAGGAAATTCTGTTGGTGAAAGTTGATTGGTAAAATCATGGTAGAACCTATGTGACATGGGAAACAGAAGAAGATATGATGAAGAGATACCCTGAGTTGTTTCCTTTAGACTTGGTATTTTTTCAAAATAAAGGTAATCCGAGTTTAGAGGACCAAACTCTTTAAGGAATGAAGACTGTAACAACCCCGACCCATGATTAACTATCAAGCCATGATTAAGTATGCCTAATAAGTAATTAAGATGAAATCTAGAGTTAATTACATGTACATTGCATTATTGTGTTTATATCTGTCTGCCGTAGAAATATCTGTTTGTGTTTCCACTTTACTCTGCGAATTGAAGGCCTTATCGGCACCCGATCATGAAATTGACTTGGTATGTGTGTTATTTAGAATGTTTAGAACATTATGATAGGTTCAATTGAAATTTGATTCGGAACAAATTAAATCAGAATAATTAATACCCATTGATTAGGTAAAGCCAAGATTAATTAAGTCAACTTAATGAGGCCTATATAAGGCTCATGTATACTCTAGACTACATTTACACTCTTGTTCCTTCACTCTAGAGACTCCAAACGTAAGGGAGAGAGAATTAGAGGGTGAGAGTTGAATACAAGAAGAAAATGGAAGACATTGCTAGGAGGCTTGGAGAATTACTTAAGATTACTTCTAAACCTTAAGAAATTGAGAACCTTAGGTAAGAATTCTAGTCTTTAGCTTTATAATTTAGTTAGGTGTAGACACCCCATTTTTGACCGACCTTAAGACTCAGACATCACCGATTGAGCGCTTGGTGATGTTGCATATCGTGCTCGTTCAGAAGTTTCAAAGTCGCGGCCGTGAGCCCTGCCTCCGGACTTCCGAACCCTCTTCTGTGCCTTGTCTCGGTTTGCGAACCAGACTCGATTTTCTCTGTTTCTTTTTCTAAGGGGAGGGAGAGGTCTCGTAGACCATCTCTCAGTGGCCGTGGGCTACATTTTGTGGCTGTACGCCATTTTGTCCATTTCGGAGCCCGGTTTTCGGTTTTCGGGACCGTCAGGCCGTGTGCCTCGGTTCGGGACCGCTTAACCGTCTCTGTTTGCCCCG